CAAACACCCTCCACTTGGTGTTCCCCTTTCTATCTGAATTGTCCTTTCCCCTAGAATACCCAGCTGGCCTCTAAGTTATGGAGTAATTCTCCTTCACCAGGAAATCTTAATGCACCTGATAACTCGTGTTTCATAACACTAAGGTATTAACATCCTCAAGAATCAACTGCCTGATGCCCATCCGATGGTGCAACTCAGATGGGCAATTGGAAAAATTGCGGGGACTAATAATGTATTAGTCACAATTCAGGAAATTCTACATGTTGAGGAAAAATAAATATTCCAGAGACTGATGCCTACCCAGCTCTAATGATATTCAGAGAAATCTCATCTTCTAAGAATTTGAGTATCCAGAAAATAGTTACTTTTTAGCAAATAAGATAAAACTGAGAAATGCTATTTGCATCATTTGGAGATAAAAGCACTTTAATTCTGCATTTCTAAATGATACGTTACCACATGAACTTTGCAAGCTATCTGATTTCTCTGACCCTTTTTTTCAGTAAAAATGTAGGTAATTGTATCTTTCTCTCTGAGTGAGTAGGAAGCAGGAGGAGAATAAGGTCCAAAAACTTGTTGGAAATCTCTAAGAAAGATTCCTGTGATCTGAGCTTGTAGTGGCTTTCCCTTACATTCATAACTTTCTTTCGGTGGTATTGGGCCAAATCTGACTGAGCTCAGGGATCATTCTTACGGTGTCTGAAGAACGATACGTCACACTCACTTTTGTAAATAATTTTTATCATAGCATATTATGATATTTGCTTTATTTTGGAATTAGTTATGTTGCTAATATAGTCCTGCTAATCTGTCACTTTATTAACGTCAAACCTTATTATAGAAAGTACGCATTGGAAAACAGGGTAGTACACACAGGGTTTTGTACTATCCTCTATTGCAGGCATTTACTCTTAGAATGAATGTCTTGGATCACAGAATAGGGAGAAGTGTTGTATATTCTCATCAATTACATCCTTTATCTCCTGAATTTGTGTTTTATCTCTTACACAGCATTCCCTGAATCCCAACTTGATGCTATGACTTGAAATTCTCATGCTTATCTCTGACAATCAGACTCAGAGTTAACACAGTGCAAAATCTATGAGACAACACATCTATGAGTCGTCACTGGTTTCTTCTGCTCCATATGTCTGGAAGCAAATTTATCAACTTTCTTCTATAGCCTCCAGGGCAGCACATGGCACCAGCATTTCCCAGTTCTGGATTGTCTGCAATTGTTCTGTGCTACCTAAAACTATCCCTAGCTCTGCACTGTCTTTCATATAAAATCTGGCTCTGCAGCAAGGTAAAAAGATCTCCAGATCTTGTTTCTCAGTAACGTTTTATTCCTTGCACATACTGGCAATCACTAAACCAAGGCAGTCCTAGCTCTCTGCACAGATCACATGTGCCCCTTTTCCCTGCCTGAAATGCATCTTTGTCCTCCACTTTAGGGCATAACTGGTCCCAGACACCCTGCAATGCAGGAGTCACTAGCAGCTCTGTGAAGAGCCTCACCTCTATAATTTAAAAACTGGAGTAAAATATATGGAGGTTCTAAGTTTGCAACCTCTGTTCTGTCCTCATTCTCATCTGAGCACTTGGCTTGCAAAACACACACAACACAAACTCACTGCACATTTGACCTATTCCAGTGGATTGATGACTCGCCACCCTACAAAGAGGGAAACTCCAAGAGAGAAGGAACATTATCTGCTGTGCTCCTTGCTGTATACACAGATAAGTCACAATGAACATATGTGAAAATCTCCTATCATATATTGTAAGTAAGTAAGTAAAGGCCCTCCCGTTGATCGTCGATTTGCTCGAGCGGGCCCAGTAACGTCTCCATTGGAGACTTTGTTGTTACTGTGTCTGGCATATCGAATACTCTCGGTAGCTTGCCGGACTCTCCGAGAGGGGCGGAGGAATCGAACTCGGGTCGGCCATGTTGGCCGCTTGGAAGGCGAACGCCCTACCCGCTGTGCTATCGCTCCAGCCCGTGGCAGTTTCTTCGACTAAACAGCAAAATTTGGGGGAGTAGAACCTATGATTTCTGGTATCTTTGTGCCCTGATTTTATGCATAGTTTTCTTGAGCATGATGCCTCTCAATAAAATCTGGTGATATTAAACTGAAGTTTAAACAAATATTTGTTCAGTAAAGAAAGGCTCTCCAACTTTCTTCAGATTCTTAGGCGTCATTAAAATTGATTCTGTCCCTAAGCTCTGGAATTCTTCAGCATGTTTGGAAACTTTCTTGAGCCTGGAAATCCTATGGCAAATGTGCACCCACCCTCACCTAGTCTGATGAAAAATGAACAATCCACAGCATCTAAGGGGCAGGTGACTCAGAGGTGATTGACTTAGGATTTGAATATGATGAGGATGAAAAGACTTGTGTATAAGGTGGAGAGGAACAGGAAAGTGGTTTCTTAACAGGACAGCATCTACAAGATGATGGAAAATTCTCCCAAGTGGTTGTAGGAGAAGGAGGAATTTTCTGCTGTGGAAAGCACTGGCAGCTGGGGACCCTCAGTTAGGTGAGAGAATCTTGGCAGATGCATGAAGCTGGGAAAGTGCTTAGAAACCAGCGGAGTACCCTAGTCAAGGAACAAACATGATAGTTTCTCAGTACCTGTATTCCAAACCATAAAGTGTGTGTGTGTGTGTGTGTGAAAGAGAGTGTGAAAGTGAGAGTGAGAGAAATAAAAAGAGAGAGACAGAGACAAAGGTAGAGACAGAGACAGACAAGATGGAGACAGTGAGAGAGAGAGAGAAAGAAGGAAAGTGTCTGCCATTAAAACAGGCTGTAGGAAGGGTAGTGAGAGGGAAACTGGGGATCTTGGTGATGGGAAATGTACACTGGTGAAAGGATGGATGTTGGAACACTGTTTGACTAAAACCAAACCATGGTCAGCTTTGTAATTCTGTATCTTATGAGCACTCAATAGTGATCATAAGATACATAAATAACAAAATAGGAGACTAATACCCAAGAGTGATGGAGATTAGTAGCAAGAGTTTTGCTCCATGGCTTGGAGGCCAGCCACACATTCTAGGGGAAAATGGAGCTCAGATAGAGAAAGGAGCACTAAATAATGGGTGTTGGGAGGATCCTCCCAGGATGGGAGAAGCATGCTGAAAGTAGACTCTAGACCAAACATGATTGCCACTCAATGCCTCTTTTGTAAACCACAACACCCAAAAGGAGAGAGAGAACAAAAAGGAATACATGATATGTGTCTTGTCCTGTGTTGGTGATATGCCAGCTGGGCTTTGGTTAACGTGGGGAATCCTGAGATCATCCCATTTGCAATGGGGGAAAAGGTGGGAGGTGAATGTGTGCCCAATCTCTCTGAGTCAGCCTCACTCACCTCCAAGGAGAACCACAGAGGCAGGGTGGGATGGAGGGGTGGGGGGGTGGGAGGGATACTGGGACCCGTGGTGGTGGAAAATGGGCACTGGTGGAGGGATGGGTGTTTGATCATTGTACAACTGAAACCCAAGCACAAAAATTCATAAATCTGCAACTGGACCTCATGGTGTTTCACTAACAAAAATTTTTAAAAAATGTAAATGATGGAGAATGGGCTTTGGTGGAGGGATAGGTACTGGATCATTGTATAACTGAAACCCAGTACTGATCATTGTATAACAAAAACCCATTTTTGTATAACAAGCACAAAAATTTGTAAGTCTACAACTGTACCTCGTGGTGTTTCACTAATAAAAATTTTAAAAAATAAATAAAATAAACAGGCTAGCAGTTAAAAAATAAAATAACACCCACTGGTCAGCACTCCAGCTTATGGACATGTTATTTGCAAGGCACTTCCCCTATCTCCCTGACTGTGACAACAAAGTTCACATGATGCTACATAGCACTTTTCGGGATAAATCTTCCTTTCTTTTCTTTCTTTCTTCCTTCCTTCCTTTCTTTCTTTCTTTCTTTCTTTCTTTCTTTCTTTCTTTCTTTCTTTCTTTCTTTCTTTCTGGAACATAACACACCCAGAAGTACTCAGGTGTTGCAGCCAGTTCTGTGTTCAGAGAACCATGCTTTCTGCATGCATGCAAAGTCCACAGATATATGTGCTATCCCTCCCACTTTGCTCCATCAGAAATTCTGTCAGATTTTTCTTTGAACATTGTTTGCAAACTCCATAAAGTCAGGGCCAATGTTTCTCTCCTGCACTGTAAGAGCCAGTGATGGATACATACTTCAGACAAGAAGAGGATCTGCTTCAGAAATACTTATGGCACAGAATGTTTTGATTCACTAATTGATATTCAATAATATACTGAACCATAGAAATGTTTTAGCATGTAACTCTATGAAAAATTAATACATTAATATTTTATAATAACCGCAGTATTTTATATCTTGTAATATGTCCACCCTTGAGAAACATCTGTGAGATCAAAAATCCATACATTATTTGTAGCTCTCTAAAACTTGAATTTAATTAGTCTGTTGTTGATAAGACACCTTGCTTATCACACAATTAACATTAATTCTGCATATTATTTACTATATTCTTATGATAAAGCAAGCTAGAAAATAGGTGCTACTAAAATCATAAGAGAGGTAAAGCAAACATACAGTACCACACTATATTAAAAGTAATATATGGTTAAGAGGACTCATGTTCAAACCTGGACAGTTCAAGGTCTTATTTGGATATTAATACAAAGGTCTTCGTGGCACACACACTTCACAGTGTCATTGGGTCACAGTTGAGTCATAGATAACTGGAGGTGATGGTTCTCCTTGGAGGTGAGTGAGGCTGACTCAGAGAGATTGGGCACACATTCACCTCCCACCTTTTCCCCCATTGCAAATGGGATGATCTCAGGATTCCCCACGTTAACCAAAGCCCAGCTGGCATATCACCAACACAGGACAAGACACATATCATTGTTCTGAGTTTTCCTGAGAATTCTACTAATCTTAAAAGTGGCAACATGGACATTTTTAAAGTAGTACTAGGACAGCACTTACCGGAACAGAAGTCATCTGAGTATCTGTCGTAGACAGCTCTGCAGTCTCGCTCATCACACTCACAGGTGTCCCCATGGATGTCTCCCCAGTCTCCTGTGGGGTCAACATCGTGGCAGGAACATTCACCACACACACAAGTTCCTGGAAGGGCCACAGTTTATATGAGACCAGTGAGAAATAAAATCTAATATCTTACACATCAGTCTTCTTCATCCATTGGTGATTTTATATTTGGTAAATACAGCAGAAACATATAAATAAAAAACACCACACAATGCCTCAACTTAGAACACCTTTAATAAATGGCAACAGAGACCAATCCCTGTCATCATGTGGGATGCAGGATGTGCATTGATGGTCATCTTGGTTGGTCTCAAAGTCAGACCCAGACCATCAACACAACTGTCAGCTGTGTCCTCCATGTAAGGTTTTGGTTGAAAAAAGAAGAAAGGTAGGTGCAGGGAGGAGTGTGTTTTCTCACCAGGGGAGAAGTTAAGAGAAATGTTGGGAGTAGGCAGGGTATAATCTCCTGAGAACAAGGGACTCACCGACTTGTCTTTCCATAAACTGGTATCTTACCAGCCACTGGCCTCACTCAGACACAATGCTCCTTCCCCTTTTCACCTCTGCTACATCTCCCAGCAAAGGGCTAGCAGCTCTGCCGGGAAGTGGCTGACAAAAGAAAGGGCCCATTGAGAGGGGTAAAGAAGGGTGAATTTCTTCAGGACATTCTTTCAGAGGCCACTGTCCTTTCTGAAGAATCCAGCCTAGGACCACAGCCCTGTTACTTCTCCTCATCCCCCATCTCTGCTTCCCCATAGGTTTGCTATCCATAGGAATACTTCAAGCTTCATGCACTGACTTGGTAATGGTGACTACTTAACCTGATACAATTAAAAGGACTTGACAACAATATATTCTAATATACCAGATACAACCACAGACTGTGTTCATAAGCTATGTCATCCGAATTATCATGCATCAAGGGAAGAATTTCCTTCTGTTTTGTTCCAAGGTCAGGCCATTGACTTCCTTTCTCTCTCTACAGTCATGTGTCACATTTTACTTCAGTTTTTAAATGGATAAACTCAGTCATGTGTGAAGGCTTTCCAAGCCAGCATTATTTGTTAAAATGTATCATGTCCTTATAAATGAAAGAAATATCTTTCCAGCTCTCTGGAAAATTTAATATTTTTCTAGAAAATTGTTTAAATTTTTCATAATTCTAAAGATGGAAATATGGTCAAATCTGGCTTAGTTTTCTTTTATCTGCCAATATAGCTAGCAAAACTTAAAGCTCTATTTATTTTCAAAAAAGTCTTTAGAGCTTCTTTATTAAGCCTATACTTGCTTTAAATTTTAGCAATGCTAATATATTAATAAGCACTATAGCAATGTCCTCCCATTGTTCATCAATTTGCTCGAGCAAGCACCATTAAGGGCTTCATTTTGAGACTTGTTGTTACTGTGTTTGGCATATCTAATACATCACGGGTAGTTTGCCACGCTTTGCCATGCGGGCAAGATACTCTCGGTAGCTTGCCGAGCTCTCTGAAATCGGCAGTGGAATTGAACCCGGGTCAGCCAGGTCGGTTGTATGCAAGGCAAATGCCCTACCCACTGTGCTATTGCTCCAGCATGTTAGATAAAAACATGTTCATAACATCTGCATTATCACACATAATAACATGTGTAATACCTACTATCAGTTCAAATATAATATTTTAAAATTCATGTGTAAGGTTGGTTTAAATTTTTCATGGCTACCTGCTATTTATAGTTTATTGTGTACGATATCACATTTTTATTGTTGCATATAAAAGTCAAATGACTCTATATCATCCTGTGTTTCAACCACACTTTCAATTTAGTCATAATTAAGACTTGAGAGGTTTTTGTCCTAGTCCTCAGTGTATAATTAGATGTTCATGCTGTAGATGGTTCTGTGAGACAAGAGACATTTAGCAGGAGTATCTACAAGAATTGCCTCTTAACTGCACTGTGCTATTTCTGGATGGCCGCCAAAGAAATTACAGGTCCCATGTTAACTCTTTGTTCAGTGAAGCCTAAAAAAATGACCACAACTTTCTTCTAGTCTGCTTTCTACCCAACACAATGTGAGGAAAAGCAAGTAGGGTGCATAGGAAATGTTGATTTTCACCAAAGTCAATAGCTATAAAGGACAACGTCCTCCCCCACTGCAAGGCACAGAGGAAAAGGAAGAGCTTTGTTTTCCTCCCCGTTCCGTAGTAACATGTCTGAGTGACACACCTCTGTTGCTGCAGATTCTGCCGTCGGGAGCCGAGCATCCGCGCTTGCTCTCCCAGGGGGTGATCGCGCACTGGAATTCACATTTATCTCCATGCCAACCAGCCTCGCAGTAACAGTTTCCACAGTAACACTTTCCATGGCCTTTACCCAAAATGAATTTATACAGTGAGAGAGAGAAGCAACTTTTTAAAGCAGAATCAACTTTCAATCTCTTTGTGCTCACTTTTGCCTTTTGAAATAATAATAATAATAATAATAATAATAATAAAACTGTTCCTCCTGACTTGCTTTAGATAAATTATGTAGTTTGTCCCTTAGCCATCACAGTTTAGCCCAGACCTAATAATCTGCATGAATGAGGCAGGCCCACGTGTTCTCTTACTTGTCTCAGCCAAAGAGTTGATTACAATAAAAGAATTTCAAAGAAATAACATAAATAGATAGTGACTGTCAATTATCTTCCAGTTTCCATGGAAGGAAGCACCTCAAACGTATGTAATCATATATTCTCAGGACATTTCTTTAAGTCATGAAAATATTTCATTTTACTGGACTTTCTATGATGAGAATAATGTAGTATATACAATTTCTGATATGCCTTTATGCCTGAAGTCTATATAAAATTATGAGCTAAATATTCTCCTCAGTTAATTTTTTTCATTTGAAATCAACTATTGAGAAACCAATGGTGAATAATTATTTGGAAGAGCATTATTATTGGTTGAACCATTTCTTAAGAAAGAAGAAATATGTCATTTTTTCATTCAATTGTTTCCTCCAAGATATGTAGAAGAAAAATGGATTTTAGAGAAAACAACAGTTAGTGCTCATTTAGACCAATAAGATTTTTTGGCTACTTGGTCTCACACAGTCAAGTTCTCTTTCTGCTTGCTAAGACAGTAACAATGCCAGGCAAAGCGAACCCTATCTCATCCATAGCCCCAACATTCTCCATGAACAATTATCCTGTTCATTGGTATTTCAGCATAAGTTGTAAAGAGTCGTCATATCTTTGCACCCATGTTTAGCAACCCTTGTATAAATTTCTCAAAGATGGAAATTCAAATGACCTAAATTCACCCTTGAAGGGCTCCCTATTTGCAGCGTTCCTACACAATCATGAGTACCTCATCTTTCTGTTCTGGTAAATATCAACAAGACCAGAGACAGCTAGAATTTTGTTTTGTGTATTCTTTCTGCTCTATAGGAATCTACGTTTTATCCAGAATGCATAGCTAAAGTCTTTGCTTTTCCTTTCTCTTTTTCTACAGCCATGATCCTGGAGGGTCATGGCAAAATGATTGTGAGAGTCTTGATAATCTCTGTTGCAGACCAATGATACAAGCAAGAGCAATGATAAAAATAATATAATATCAATGCAGACAATGATAAAAGCATCAGCAATGGAGAATCTCAGGTCCGATTGCACATTTCAATTCAATGGAATATATGCAAAGGGACATAGAATAGAATAGAGTATGCATTATTCCATGATTGTTTACCAGATGGAACTTTCCTCAGGCAGACTACGTCAGAGAGATAGGAGGTGAGAGAGTTGAAGAGACATTAGCACTATAAGTGCTATAGTAAAAAGCAGAGGAAGAGAAATAAAACCCCAGCTAACTACATCATGCTTTATGACTCAGTGAGCTATAGTGGGGGATCCATAAAATTCCTTTACCCAAACAGTCAAGGATCATTTCAACAACAAAATTTAAATGTAACTTGCTGAAAGCAAACATAAAGGAGGCTCTCAAATGAATTCATCAGAAATATTTAATTTATGAACTTCAAAATATATCCACATACACACACATGAAAAGTATCCCCAATGTTATGTCATAAGCCTCAGGGACATGAAGACTACAATGAAAAAAAGGCAATAAAAATATGGTACTAAAATATTTTTATTTTATTTATTTATTTTTTGGTTTGGGGCACATATAGCTGAGTTCAGAATTTACTTCTGTCTATGCTCAGAGATAACTCCTGGCAGTGTTCAGGGATTATCATGCCATGGATCGAACCTGAATCAGGCCCCATGCAAAGCCATGCCTTCCCCCCTGGATTATCTGTCTTCCCAGACTGGGGTTCTTAAAACAGTTTTTTCCTTTTTTTTGCAATTTTTGGGGGGATCACACCCAGAAATTCCCAGGGTTACTCCTGGCTCTGCACTCAAGAATTACTCCTGACGGTGCTTGGGAGACCATATGGGATGCTGGAGATTGAACTCGGGTGGGCCGCGTGCAAGCAATAACCCTACCTGCTGTACTATTACTCTGGCCTGAAAACTTTTATTACTTATTTAAATCACAAGTTATTTCCCATGTCAATTTGGGAAATTTATAAGGTCCTATATATTTAAGGTTTGATATGATATTGACATATGAAAATCTACATTTTCACAAATTTCTTAGTTTATTATAAAATTGAACATTAAATTAGGACTTTAACAATAGAAATGAAGAAATTGAGAATCAGTCTTCAGTAGGAAGCTTGCCATTTGGGGTTTGGGAGGTGAGGCTAGGACAAAGAGAATACTAAGATAATGGTAGAGAAAGAGGATAAGTCTGGATTCTGAAGGATGGTGAAGTGTTTAAGCACAAAACCCTACCAATAACAGCAACAGAGACCACAGAACATAAAATTTATCATTAAAGTGCTTATCATAGAGACTGACTTGGAGGTTGGGGAGGGGAAATGGGGATATTGGTGGAGGCATTTTATGTTGCTGCTGGGACATTCTATGCCCGAAGCCCAAACATGAATAACTTTATAAGTGAAAAATTAATTAATAAATAATAAAAATAAATAAATTTGGTTTTTACTATAAAAAGCAACTGAAATAGAAATGGGTAAGAAAATAAACATTACATTGAAGTTTCAATGTAATGACTGCATGCAGCTATGGAAAATTAAGCAGATCTCCTCATAATACAAATGAAAATTATTTTGCATAAATAACTTGTATGAATGTATTAATTTATTCCTTCATTTAAAAATATATTTAATGGCTGTTCTATGCTCATGAATTATCTGTATATCTTACTTCAAATGGAAATACCATTAAGAAGTAACATTTGGATAACCAAGATAAAATGTATCAGGAAAAGACACATGCTAGATAACAGACATCCATTGCTAGCCTTATGTACACTGATAGAATTTAAAAAAAAATTCCCTTTGTGTTGCTTCATCAGTAGGCTGTAGAATCACATTTCTGGGGCTGTTTTCATGTGAATGACAGGTGAAATCTCTCAGTCTTGTCAGAACCACCCCCAGAGCAGGCTGACTGTAGGACTGGGGTGTGTGTATGTGTGTGTGTGTGTGTGTGTGTGTGTGTGTGTGTGTGTGTGTGTGTATTGGGGGGGGGCAGGAACTATGTACCATGAAATTGCTTAAGCCTCAAACAAACAGAGATACTAAGTGGAAAGGTGAGAGTTCAGCATTTTGTGTGGTGTTGCTTCAAATCAAATGTTAGCATTGATATGGGCAGATAGACTGCTTTGTGGAAATGTACAGAGCTCATTGGCACCCATGTTCCCCCACTTTTCTCTCTAAAAAATCAAAATGAAAATTTAGAGAGGATACAAACATAATAATTATGGGTGGATTGATGGAATTGTTGTAATCATTTTGAATTCAGTCCTTTGCCTGAACACCGTCTAACTTAGGACACAGGCTAGAAAAATAACAAAGCTTTTGTGCAGCAAGTTGACCAGAAATGTTTTAACAGATTCAACCTGAGAGTATCTGGGTAACTACAGGAAGCAAAGCTACAGTGCACTCTGCATAAAAGGGAGAGTGTGACAGACATTAGTGCTACTTTCTCTGGTTCCTCCTGGTCTCATTTGTCCCTGCTTGTACAAGGGAATCAGCCATACTATCTGCATGACAGGAGCCTGTGGGTTGGAAGGTCAGAGAGAAGGGAAGTGAGCAAAAGCTTATCAATAGAGAGTTGAGGCCAGAGACTGGCAGCCCCGAGGCTGTGGAACTGCTCAGGTTCTTCAGTGGTCAGAGTGACCAGGGCTACATCAGGCAGTTGTTGCTCTGAAAAAGGGTTCGATATGTGCAAGGCATTCTCCTCAACCCCTGAACCATCTTCTGCCAATTTTTAAGTAATAGCAGAGAAATGCTTTTCCAAAATGGAAAGGGGGGAGATTGCCCATTCACTTTCTTTTTCTTTTAGTCCCGGCTGCAAGTTGAAACTTAGAAACAAGCTTGCAAACAGAATCCTAAGAGCCAGAATGGGTGATGAGCAAATGCTCTTCTCCTTAGCACCACACTCCAGGGCACTGAAGCAGTCCTCTACCATAAGTGGGCAAGAGCCCAATCTCTGGAGTCAGATGCACAGGAGTCTGAATGCCACCATAATTCCTGGAATGACTCAGCACAAATCATCTCACTGATTTAAACTCTGGTCTGTTGGTATGAAATAATTCTTAGCCTAGAATGATGTATGCCATCCGGCAGCCACTGTAAAGTGCAGGTTCTAAGTGCCTGATGCCAGTGAGCAAACTATCACTGCTATGTGAGTTACAGCAAAGGACTAGACTCTTTCTTGACAAAATAGGAAGCCAACCTCTGAGGACAACCTGGATGGATCCAGAGGGGAACCATATAATAGCAAATAGGGGGGCTGGAGCAATAAGCACAGTGGAGAGGGCATTTGCCTTGCACGTGGTCGATCCAGGTTCAATTCTCAGCATCCCATATGGTCCCCTGAGCACCACCAGGAAAAATTCCTGAGTGCATGAGCCAGGAGTAACCCCTGTGCATTTCCAGGTGTAACCCCCTCCCAAAAAAAAAAAAACAAGAAGTAGAAGAAAATTGGCAGGTAGTTGCACTCATGTCAGATAAAAATAGAGCAATTTAGTGAAAAGAGAAAGAAAAAGAAAGACAATTCTAACTCAGCCCTTGAGTTAACTCCATGGTGTCTATTAGAAGGAAAGGAGAAGGTAGTTAGAATGGATAAGAGTCTTTTTGGTGCTGCACTGTCACTGTCACTGTCACTGTCCTCCGGTTGTTCATCGATTTGCTCGAGCGGGACCAGTAATGTCTCCATTGGAGACTTTGTTGTTACTGTGTTTGGCATATCGAATACATCACAAGTGGCTTGCCAGGCTCTGCCGTGTGGGCGAGATACTCTTGGTAGCTTGCCGGGCTCTCCGAGAGGGGTGGTGGAATCGAACCCGGGTCGGCCAGGCTGGCTGCGTGCAAGGCAAATGCCCTATAGCAAGTCTGTAAATACTGCTTTGTATATCTGGGTGTCCCAGTATTGTGTGGGAGAGAACACTGACGGCAGATCTGACCTAGGATTTCCCTTTCCCAAGACGTGTTAAACTCAGAAAAAAACTCAGAAAAAAAATTTAACCTCTGGTGCTGCAGTGGCACTAAAAATTTGGCAGTAGATCCAGTGAGTCTTATACACATGAAGGGTAGAATGCTAAATCCTAGCAAACCTATGGTACTATAAATCAATGAAAACCCAACTTTAAAAAAAACATAAAAATTAAGCACATGGAAAAAATTATGAAAGATAGTAATATAGAGTATGTATGGAATATAGAAGAAGAAATTCCTAGCTGATAAATATTACTAGTTTTCTCTATCTTCCTATTAATTTATTCACTTACTTATATAGTTATTTTTTGTGATTTCAAGGATGGAACTTAGGGACACACAAACAATTCGCTCTACCACTGAGCTACCTTACAACTTGATATGAGACTTTCAAGTCTATGTTTAAGAAGGAAAGAATAAAATTAAAATATGCAGCTAAAAATTTGAGAAAAAGAAGAACTTATGTGGCTGGGATGAGCAGGGCAAAAATTTAAGTAGAACACTTCAGAGTTGCAAATGATATATTTAATACTGGTTTGGATCTCTTCTGAAAACAATCTGATTTTACATTTAAAAAGTACTACTCAACTCTGAATGTCTAGTCTGACCCTCCTTAGATGAAATGCTTTCCAAATAAATATAAGGTCAGATTAAATTAGTAAACCTGCTAGAGAACTTTATAGCAAAAAATTTAAGAGTGTTCCAAGTGAAAAATCAGTTGTTTTGATTAATTTCTGAAAAGTTAAGGTACATACCTCCACATACTTCTTCTGTTTCATCATCAATGCATTCTCTGTCATCACACTCACAAAATTTACCATAAATGAGTCCATTTCCATCAGAATTATCACACTTACACCTGCCACAGTGACATGTACCTAAATCATTAAAACAAAGCAAATATTATTTGTTAAATGCATATAAATTAAAATTAATGGATTTTTAACTTATCTCCATCAAATGACAAAATTTAAGTCAGCTTAATATTCCAATTATGCATTTCTGTGGGCATTATAAGATAAAAACATTCTTTACTGAGATTAGTGTAGCACAGAAATTATACTTCATAGCACAAAACTATTCTGTTTGACATCTAATAGTTTCATAAATGTCAATTTGACCTTCCCAAGTACAAAGTTATTTTATACATGAATTTTGTCTGATTACACGTGGGTCTCAAGTGAACTAAAGCGTAAAATTCTAAGCTCTGTGACAGAAGTAAGCTTGCTATCATCTTTACCAATATTTATTCAATTCTTTCACAATATTTGGGCATGCTATTTATGTAAATAATATTTGTATAACTCATTATCAAATGCATACATGACAAACTTAGATATTTCTAATATTTTTTCATCCACAATGTTAAGCTGAGATACCATTTTAATGGCAATGGGGTCAAAATGGATTTTTCTAGCTATGCGTATCAGGGGATATCATATAAACTTTTAGGAAAACTCAGGTGATGAGGAGGCATTAGAGTCATCTGGTCTACCACACTCCATTTACTAAGTTTTTATGGGATTTTATTACAATTCCTGAGTGATTTCACTGAGAGTAAGATAGCATTGAAATGATATTAAGTAGTAGAAAAAAAACTTTTATTTTATACTTATTTTCATTTTTTAAACTTTTTTATTGAATCACTGTGAGCTATACCTTTACAAAGCTGTTCATGATTGGAATTCAGTCATGCAGTGTTCCAACACCCATCCCTCCACCGGTTTATATTTCTCAGCTTCGGTGCACCAGTGTCCCCAGGTTTCCTCCAATCACCCCCACCCCTCATCCCTTGCCTGCCTCTATCCTCACCCCCTCCCTCAGATCTTGTCCATTCTGATCATTCCCAGCTATTTTATCATATTGGTCTCTTCTCTATCTTACCTGCTTGCAGCCCCCCCCCCCACACCTGTGGTTAGTTCAACCATTGACAAGTCCTCCTAAACCCTGTTTACTCTGGCCATGGATATTAGTCTTCTAATATATCTGTCACTGTCTGTCACTGTCCTCCCATTGTTCATAGATTTGCTCGAGCGGGCCCAGTAACGTCTCCATTGGAGACTTTGTTGTTACTGTGTTTGGCATATTGAATACATCACGGGTAGCTTGTCAGGCTCTGCCGTGCGGGTGAGATACTCTCGGTAGCTTGCCAGGCTCTCCGAGAGGGGCGGAGGAATCGAACTCGGGTCGGCCATGTTGGCTGCATGCAAGGCAAACGCCCTACCACTGTGCTATATCACAAATGAACGCAGTCATTCTGTATCTGTCCCTCTCCTTATGACTCATTTCACTAAGCATGATAGTCTCCATGTCCATCTATTTATAGGTAAATTTCATGACTTCACTTTTCCTAACAGCTGCATAGTTTATTTTCAAATTTTAATTTATTATCATAGCAATATATTAAAGTATTATCAGAAGATGATACTTTATACATCAGTGAGACTCTAACACTTACCCGACAACTCTGTTAGATGGGAAAAAGTAACAGGTGATAAATGCTGGCTATAGATAGTTTCTCAAAGTTTTAAATCAGTAAAACAAAACAATACGATATGTGAAAAAGTATAGCAGAAATACATAGCAATAGGATTTTACTGAGAAACAGAGGTCTGAAGGGTGGGGAAAGGTGGGAGAGAGATTCTTCCATGGAGAATAAATCTTAAACTTAGACTAAAAGTAAAATAATAGCTAAGATAAATGAGACAATGAAAATGCTCACTTCTAGTAAGACACCACAGAAAAGAGTGGTATCTTGTGTGTTAAAGAGAAAAATAGGAAAATAATTATGGAGTATAGCAATGAATGTGAAATATGGTGTAAGATTACTTAGAGAATTTTAAGTTCAGATCACAGAAGACTTGCATGTGAGGTGATAATTTCTACTTTGGATTATGAAAAATAGTTATAGTAATATTCTCAGCAAGGGAGGGTTGTGATTGGAAAGGCCTTTTAATCAGATTATTAGGGTTGTCACATGATAGAGAATGAAAAACAATGAGGCAAGAGAGGAGGATGAGATTATTTCATTTATCTGTAGGAAGAAAAATAATGACAGAATTGGGTAATTGCTGTGAGACTTCAAGAAAAAGCAAATATTCCTGGAGATAATTTAAGTAGAAAGACTAAACACTTGGTGAGTGGGTAAGGAATAGAGAAGGACCACAAATGCAACTGACACTTGATTCAAGAGACTGGGTATTGGCATCTTGATGTGTGGTATAATGGGAAAAAAATGACACTCAGACACAAGTGTACCTGCAACCAAGTATGGGTTTTAGTATTCACGAGGTATATAGATTTGTGGGAAGTACATTCAAACTCCTTATCTTCAAATAATGTCTACTTATATTTCAATCTGTGAGAACTAACTGATATTTGGTTCATTTTTCTAATTATCTACTATGTCTGGTATTTTTCATTTTACTTTTTAGTTGTTTTTTTTAATCGAATCACTGTGAGAAACATAGTTACAAAGCTGTTCATGATCAGGTTTCAGTCATACAATGTTCTAACACCCATCCCTCTACCAGTGTACATTTCCTACCACCAATGTCCCCAGTTTCCCTCCTGCCACACGCCCTTTGCTTCCCCTGACCCAAACCCCCTCCACCAAGCCTATCTCTATGGCAGGCACTTTCCTTCTTTCTCTCTCTCCTTTTGGGCATCATGGTTTTACAATACAGATAACTTAGAGGTTATCATGTTTGTTCCATGACATACTTTTAGCATGCAGTTCTTATCCAGAGTGCTCATTTCCAACTATCTTTGCCGTAGTGGTCCCTTCTCTATCACAGCTGCTTTTTCCCCAAAGCATTTGAAGCAGGATCTATATCTAGTTTTTAGTAGCAGCCTTCCAGAAAACACTGGCTTCTTCCCTTTTCTCTATCCATACAATGAATGCATTCAGTAATATCCCTGAATATTTTCTTCAAATTGATTTAATATTTATAGATCCCATAAGGTCCTATTTCCAAATTATCATGCAAGGTTCTAGTCCTTTGCAGTTTGCTATTATCTGTATATTTTTCATTCTGTCATATATAAATGGTAAATATGAAAAAATTCAACTTATATTTTCCTTCTCTGAGAAAAGTTCTGTGAATTTTACTCTTACTAAACTTCATTTTCTAATTTTCCTTTCTGAAAACTATTTTAAATCATAAGAATTAGTCTAATGCTCTAATTCCTAGTATTGTCTCATCTCGTTCTTTTCTAATTATCACCTTTCTTATTCATTTTCACATATATTCCTGCTGTCTTCCAAGCATCCACATATCTAGTTGTTAAATTTTCTTGTTACCTATTATATTTTAGCAAAGTACTAGTAATAGTGCTATAAGAGATAATAAGAAGAATAAATTAAATCTATCTTAGACAAGGAATAAAAAGCTAGATAATTGATTGCATATATATAATGCGCATATATTTCTGACAAATTCTACATAAAAAGCAAAAGTTAGGTTTGCCTCTGTGAAGGAAAAAAAGGAGTCAGTTCTAGAGTTGGCACTTAATGTATGAACTGAATTTCAGCTAGTAGACATGGAGAATAAAACTTGGATATTGAGAATGGAGCCAGATTCAAGAATAATATAGGGGAAAGGGCAGAGAACAATAGTACATCAGATAGGGAATTTGTGATCTGGGTTCAAACCCCAACATCCCATATGGTCCCCCAAGCACTGCCAGGAATAATCCCTGAGCACCTGGTCAGGAGTATCCCAAGCTTCACTGAGTAGGACTTACAAAAGACAGAAAAGAAAGAAGAAAGAAAGAGAGAAAATAAAGGAAAGAAAGGAAAGAAAGAAAAAAGAAATAAAATAAAAGAGAAAGGAACAGAAGGAAGGAAGAAAGAAACAGAAGGAAGGAAGGAAGGAAGGAAGGAAGGAAGGAAGGAAGGAAGGAAGGAAGGAAGGAAGGAAGGAAGGAAGGAAGGAAGGGAATTAAGGAATGTATCTTTAAGCCAGGGATATCTGGCTTCAGTTAGGAGAAAGGCGTCAGTTGAAGGCAGCTAGTAAAGAATTAAGAATATCAGTTAAAGATTTTTTCGATGGCCTCTATTGAGATGCCAGGAGCCCCCCTAGATTGGGAAAGAGTAGGATGATCACTAAGGCAGTTAGTAGTGGCTTACTGAGGAAAGTGGGAGGAAGAGCTGAATTCTACAACTTCTCACTGACATCCCCCACAGCCAGCTCATTCCCATCCACACATCTGAACCATTCCTGGCTGTGTGAGAAGTTTGCACCAACTCAGACTTCCTGTCTCACTCACCAAGGAGAAATCACTGGGTTCCGAGAGAGTGCAAATGTAGTACAGACAAAAGTGCCAGACTCCTGTGCTTCCACCATGTCAATTCTGCCTCTCTTGGTTGCCAGTTAACTTAGTCTTAAGAATGTGTCTTCTGTTGTATGCTAGATTATTTTAGCTCTGACTTTTCATTCTGCCCAATACAGGCATCACTTCCTGAGAGGGTATCCTATAGGAACACCACCCTACAGCCCGCTAGCCTGTTCATTTTCTGAAGTCAGACTCTGGAATTTCTCAGTCCCCAGTTGCGTTTCACCTGCCCATTCAGTCAATGTGCCATCCCGGTCCTTACCTCTCTTCTCCCCTTCTGCTTCCCACAACTCTAGCAAATTACTTCATATTATGATGGCCAAACGTCAGTAGAAAGAACTCACTGACTAAAGTAACTTGGGACAAATGAATGGTCTTACACTAGGCTGGACTGGCAGAAACAGATTTAAAAGAAGAGGTGAAAATGAGATTCTCAAAGTCAACTTGCAAGGCTTCATTACTGAGAAGAATGTAGGAGAAAAAAAAGATTAACTCTAGCACAGAGTATAAATTCCCCTTTGGGCCTAGCAATCTCACTACTAATAATTAAGCCAAATGACACACCTCTGTAAATGTGAAAAGCCCTACTTTCTGTGAATAGTGATTTGTAAATTTTCAACTGGAAATAGCTGAATTGCCCAAGCATACTAGATTGAAGACATAAAGTTGTACGAATAAAATGAGTAGTATCCATCTGAAAAAATAATTTAGAAGTTTTCATCAGCTCTTACGGAATTGAATTGCACAATTTAATGTTGAGTGGCAAAGAGTATAAAAGACATTTTTAGGAAGCTACATTCGTCAAAAAAAAATAAAGAATGCCACATATATATATTCCAAAGAAATAATAAATCACATAAAGTAAGATAAAGCAGGATTCAATGAAATCACCTACAAGGTGGGAAGGAAGCTGATGGAGAATTCAAGAAAAAGTAGAATGTTTCCCTGAAAAAGCTCTTTTTGCATAATTTCAACTTTTGGAAGCAAAGTAATGTTCTACATATTACAAAATAAAATTAAATCAAGGAAGCTGGGGGTGAAAGGGAACCCTAAAATTAAAAACAATCTGCAATGTTATAGTATTTCAGATGCAGATCATAACTACACTAAGCAGGAGATAAGGAGAAAGAAATCAAAGTAATTTCTGAACATAGAATTTTACAACAAACCCCAATCTTGGGCAAAGCTGGGGTGAAATTAATTGCAACTAAATTCTGGGGAATTTTTCTTTTCTTCCCTTTAAAAGATTTTACTTGTAAAGTGGTTTGAAATAATTTAGATTTAGCATGAATAAATGAGTTAAGTACATCGATGATGCTGAAATCCAGGATTCTCTTGTCCTCTTCCCAGGCAAATGTAAAGGTAAAGGTAAAGGCCCTCCTGTTGTCCATCGATTTGCTCGAGCGGGCCCAGTAACGTCTTTATTGGAGACTTTGTTGTTACTGTGTTTGGCATATCGAATACGTTACGGGGAGCTTGCCAGGCTCTGCCGTGCGGGCGAGATACTCTCGGTAGCTTGCCGGGCTCTCCAAGAGGGGCGGAGGAATTGAACTCGGATCGGCCATGTTGGCTGCGTGCAAGGCAAATGCCCTACCACAGTGCTATCGCTCCAGCCCCAGGCAAATGTGGAAGAGGAAAACAGAAATAATCATAGAGAGTATGGATAGAAGATGTAAAACCTGATGATTTCTTTTTCTTACTGATTTCTTAACTACATGCAAGCATATATGCATGTAAAGACACAGATGTGAATTTTTATGTATATCTACATATACCTGAGTATATTATCTTATTCATAATAAGTAATGAGAAGCAAAATAGATTCTAATGAAAATAAACATTTCGTCACAGCTCCAATTTTTACTCTGATACCATCTTTCCTAAAAGAAAGAAGAATTTTTGAAGAAACGGTTGATTGTAAGGCTGTGACAGAGAATTATTTTGTGATATTTTGCAATGTCAGAAGGTAAAGAATTGCTCAAATAAACCAAGCAAAAAAATGATGGGAACATGAAACAGGGACAGAGAGAATGGTATAAAGGGATTTCAGTATTCTGATTACAAATGATCTGAGAATCAGCACAATTCACTATAAGAAGAAACCACTGGAAAAATAGGAATTGTAATGCTAGGATGCTAATAAATTACTAACTAAATAAAATATTAACAGATGAGGGAAGATCCTCATTGCTGCAGTGCTGAGTGACAACTGGTAAGTGTGGAGGGAATGTTTGGGTTTGGAAATTATTTTAATCTTAGTCTAAACACTGGATTGATAACGTCTGTAAATCTGGAGTAATTTTGATTGATTTATCCCATGATGGAACACTTGTTTTGAAGACAAAACAAATCACTCTAGAGCCGAGACACCAGGCAACATGTTAACCAGGTGATCAAAATTAAGCTAAGGATATAGAACATGAGTCTAATCAAGAGATCACTTCAGACAAATTCCAAAGGAAGAAGTAGCATTCTATTTAAAAGTAAATGAAAGTTTGGGGCAGATTATTCAAAAAGTTCAATCCACTTATTTCATATACAGGGCTTCAGAACAAAGAGAGATGACAAACACACCGTACCTCTAACTAGGGGGGATCCTAAAAGCAGTGGGAAAATACTATAAAGTCCATTTGGGTCCATTGATGAGAGGAGAAAAAAAAAAAGAACAGAGCTACATCGATCACAGAAATGTAGAAATGTGTTTCATATCTTATTAGGTACATTTTATTTTCTATTGAAATAATACCATGCATTTTCCCTTAAAATATGCTAATATAATGATTCACATGTTTCTATTCCATAATGTTCAAATGCTTTTAAATTCCTAGACTAACTCTTCGACTTATTTTAAAAACAACACTGTTAAAAAACAACAACAACAACAAATAAACCTTGGGGTGCTGAAGACATAGCTCAAAGATTTGAGCACATGATTTACAGCAGAAGATCTAGGGAAAAGCAGGAACCATGGGTTCTACCCACCACCCCCACCAAGAAATGCCAGGAGCCAGAAGAAGCCCTAAAACAGGGGGTGGAAGGGTGTGTGCGTGTGTGTGTGTGTGTGTGGGGGGGGGGGTAATGGATTTCAATTGCAAAGCAACCAGTTGATACAAAACAAAGAAACACAATAGAGTTCAAGTTTTATTACTGAAAGAAGTTTGAAACCTATTAAGAAGTTTCCAGTAATGAGAGGAAGTGAGGGGGCTACCCAGAAGCCCAGAGCCATTTCTCAGGGTCTACTACCCAGGCACCTCCACCTTCTTTGGAATATTGTGTAGATTCCTGTTTGGGGTTAGCAAATCATGGAAAGATGAGCCTCTGAAGGCATCCAGACCAGGTCTTCTTTGGCATGTGGATTTGATGTCGGTGGGCCCCACTGGTGACTTATGTGAAGTGGGGAGGAGAAAGACGGTCACTTTCTCCCCACTCGCCTCTGCCACCCGGGACCCAGGGTTACTGGGTTCTTGTCTCATCTGCAGAAAGGAATTTCAGGAGTAGACAAGCAGTGAAGTAATTAGATTTTATTTGGAGGATTTTTAGGTATGGAGGGAGAGAGAGTAAGAGAGTAACATACTCAAGAGAGAACACGGGCTTCTCCAAGGGCGGAGAGAGAGCCTCTACACACATCCTAGCATTAGACATGAAAGCACGAAAGTACACATCTCAAGAGGGGAGATGCGGGCGACACGTGCTCAGGCACCACATGTGCTCGGCCACGTGGGTGCAAGCAGCACATGGGCTCAGGCAGCTTATGCGCGCTCTTCCTTTGTTCAAGGTGGCCTTTCTAGGGTTTCTCCAGCCTGCCCCCACGTGAAGCTTCTTTCCAGGTAAAAGTCCGTTGCTAAGGAGGTTACTAGGGAGGTCCAAAAAGAGGAACTTCATGGAGAGGAGGTCTATATCCTCAGGGTCTGCAGCTGGTCTTATCATGTCTTTGTTTTCTGTATCCGCAAGGTGGGTCATTCCTAGAATTCTTCTTCCCCCTTAATCAAGCTTCATTGCCAAGGGCCTTTCCCTATCTACCTGCCTACATCATATCATTCTGAGATAAAGTGAATCCACACACTTTTACTGGTAGAAAACTACTATTTCCTAAACCAGGTAGAAGAGTGGAAGTTGGGAGCATCACCTTGATTCTGCTTTCTTTTTGTCAAGGCTTTACATCAGAAATGAGCATATGAGAGCAAATATGTTATTACTATCTGGATCTTTGCCCACATGGATTTCTCTCTTCTCTCCTTGAAGCCCCCAGTCCTTATCCTTTTTCTGATAAAACTCTCATTTAAGCCCCATTTACTATAGACCCATACAGTCTAGTATGGTCTGTATTTGTAAGCAATTGAATTTGCTCTCCCTAAACTAATCTGTCCTGCCTCTGTTAGATTGCTCCACTAGTCCCTGCAAAGACCCCAGAGGGTAAGCGGAAATTTCTCCTGAGTTTACACAACTTTCTTCGGAATTTAATCTACTCTAGCAATGATGACAAAGACCAAGGATGTAGCCCAGATTTAAGGACTATTTCAGACTTGTGAGCTGTGTGACTAATGCCTTTCCTATCCTCACCTTTGTGTTGTTGAATTGCTTGCTAATTCCTCAATTTCTACATAAGAATTGCTCTGAGAGCTTTAAAAACCCACCACAAATCCAGACCATCTTGGTAAGCAATTGAATCAGTTCTAAAACAAGAGCTTTGTCTCATTCAACTGAGATCAGGAAAAAAAAAGCTTACTTTGAGACTCCAGACACCCTTTAAAGGGTATTTAATTATAGTAACTCTGGCTATATGCCTTTGAAAACCTAAACCACAGCTGTTTTCTTTTCTATGGTTTAAGTAATTAATTTAAAAGCTTCTCTGTACACTTCTAAGAAACATCTCTAAATGACTTCTAAATATTTTGGTCAATGAATTATTTGCTGTCACTACAATCATATTGAGTGCATCTGAACTTTCTATCAAATTTTAAAAGTTTGGTTACATTGAATTCTAAGGTATAAATTCAAAGCACCCTTGATCGAGTTGCATTTTATTTCAATCCCCTTTAAAAGACTTATTACAGCCTTCAAAAAATCATGGTGTACAATTTACATAAAGTGCTGTTGTGGCCTTGTTTCCAGTGAATTAGTGTCTTGCATGGAGGAAGATATTGAAACAGCTGGAGAATACCAAACTTGCCAATCTTAGCAAGATGAGTTATTTTCCCTATTGATTTATCTAAAGTTTGTTTCTAAAAAAGACACTCCAAAGTAGTCTCAATGAGTGGTTCAATACTACTTGGCACCCACCTATTTTCATTAAAAACCAAAACTTGATAATTGCCCTCGAAAATTTTGATAGGAGAAAATTCTTACCTGCATTAGAGCAGATGATATCTTGATAATTCTTGCACATTTGGTTACTTTTTTTCTTTGTCAGGTCACAGTGCGTTGGGTACTGGCAAACGTTCCCAGACCAACCTGCGTCACATTTGCACTTGCCACAATCACACTTTCCGTGGCCTGGGAATAGAACATCCAGTTAGACTCAGATTGTTTTCCAAAGGAAATCACTATAGTCATGGAGAAAAAGCACTTGGAGTGATTGGGCCCTGCATGTGGATAATTCATTATCTATGTATTGAGAGTGAGCCAGGCTGACAGAGAAATCCCCGTAATGTTGGTTAATATTATAATGATCCTGGGTAATCAAAAGTGGGAGCAACTGGCATGAAGGATCTTCAAACACATATTCACAAAGACACTGAGAAGCAAATATTCCAAAAGGATGAAGAGATAAAAGCTGTCTGGACCCAGGAGACCCTCTTAAACTAAAATGAATAGTTGGTCTCAAATACATCGCTGTGAAATATGATGCAAATTGAACTGTCTTGGCCTCTCCTCACGCTCCTCAAACGTTCCCCCTGAGGACAGAACAACCAGGGGCTGGTCCACCTGTGCATGGACCCTGCAACCCACTGAGAGTACCTAGCACTCGCCCACCCAGAGCTATTTCCAGAGCAGAACTGGGGCAGCTTCTAGGCTCCCCTGCTTCATCAAATTGAGTTGCAAACAGTAACATTTCCTTCAAATAAACCACGTTGTAATTAAATGATTGTAGCACCGTAGCACTGTCCTCCCTGTTCATTGATTTGCTCGAGCGGACACCAGTAACGTCTCAACAAATTGTGAGACTTGTTGTTACTGTTTTTGGCATATCGAATAAGTCACAGGGAGCTTGTCAGGCTTTGCTGTGCAGGGGAGATACTCTCAGTAGCTTGCCGGCTCTCCAAGAGGGGCAGAGGAATCGAACCCAGGTCAGCTGCGTGCAGCCAGGTCAGAGGCTAATCCGGGTTCAAGCCTCACCCGCTGTGCTATTGCTCCAACCCAAATGTGATTAGCTTAGCTTGATTTAGAAATGAAACTTCTTCACTCAAAAGGGGGTTAGCAAATTTGAAATCTTAACCTCACAGGACAATAGATTAAAATTGAGCTTCTATTAATTCAAAAACATGTATAACATAGTGGGAAGGGAAGACGATTACAACACCTAGGATAGTGGAGTATGTGATTTCTGCTTCAATTACTATCTTGATCAATCATTCCCAAAACACCACCCTTTAGAAAAATTAATATATAATAAACCAGACAGCAAAGGCCAGAAAGTTAAATCTTAAAAAATATCTAGCATGTACATATCTAAGAGAAAAAAGAACAGCAAAATATTATTCTCACTTAACTGTATTATATAACACATAAAATCATAAACTTTGAGACATGTATCTTACATGAAACTACTGCTATTGATCCTATATTTATGATTTATAACAATATTTTAATGAACATTTTAAAATTCATTTAAATAATAAGATTGAATATGAAAACAGATAAATATCCATTTAATAAAAAAATTGGTTCAACAACACCCAAAAGGAGAGAGAGAACAGAGGGGAATGTCCTGTCACAGAGGCAGGGTGGAATGGGGTGGATGGGAGGCAGAAGGGATACTGGGATCCGTGGTGGTGGGAAATGGGCACTGGTGGAGGGATGGGTATTTGATCATTGTATAATTGAAAACCCAATCACAAAATTTGTAAGTCTACAACTGTACCTCATGGTGTCTCACTAATAAAAATTTTTTAAAAAATTTGGTGCAATAATCAAAAGACTGAGTCACATTCATTGATGTTCACAGAAATTTCTCAACTTTTAATATTCACAAAATCAACACAGAACTGCTATATTGTTATGGTCATGAAATTCATTAAGTCTTGTTTCATGAAGCCCACAAATACTTTAATTGGTTGTATATTAGTTTCGCCTTACACGCAGCCAACATGGCCGACCCGAGTTCGATTCCTCCGCCCCATTCGGGGAGCCCGGCAAGCTACCGAGAGTATTCGATATGCCAGACAGAGTAACAACAAAGTCTCCAATGGAGACGTTACTGGGCCCGCTCGAGCAAATCGACAATCAACGGGAGGGCCTTTACCTTTACCTTTATATTAGTTTCACCTGTAAAAGATGTAAAACATGCTACTCCTGGGCCCTTATTAAGGAATAGAAATATGTATATTATATGTCACTGTCCTCCCATTGTTGATCAATTTGCTCAAGCGGGTCCAGTAATGTCTCCATTGGAGACTTTTGTTGTTACTGTGTTTGGCATATCGAATACATCACGGGTAGCTTGCCAGGCTCTGCCGGTATATAATATATATATTATATATATATATTATATATATATATTATATATACATACATACACCTAGTGCTCATGGTATTAAGGCTTATTCCTTTATTCCTGGTTCTTTGCTCAAAGGTCACTCCTGGTGGTACTGATTGGGAGGGTCCATATGGAATGTTGGGCATCAAATCTGGGTTGACTAACAAGCACAGCTCTTCGATCTCTCTGCCCACTTATTAAGGAACTTATAAACTGCCAAGTTATGCAGAGGATGGCATTATCTTCAGCCAGAAATGTTTCTTGGATTTTCTGTTAACTTGAACAATATCAGGTATGAATTATAGAAAAAAAGAGTAGAGAGATTTTTCTGGTTTTCCTTCATCTTTAATTAGGTTTGTAAAGGCGAACATCGTGTGGAAGGTTAAGAAGAGTATAATTATATTACTTAAGAAAGTAATATCTATCTCAGTACCTAAAATTCATATTCCACAATAGAATGGAATCATTCATCTAGTGCCAAGAGTCATTTAGCGTGGCAGCCAAAATCTACATGATGAGATCCAGATGGCCACTGGGAATGAGTGACACTGGGTATCAGATTTGGGTAGCTCTGGAAGAGCCTAAAATTGTGACTCACTGTGGCTTTAAAACTCCTCATCTTGTGGCCCAGTTCTCAAAAATGTTTTTACTCCTGCTGCATTTTTTCGAGTTAATTACTCTATTTTACAAACAAAGTCGTGCCTGTACTCTGATTGCAGTGGATTTAATCCAGTGCACGTGAATCTGTCAAACTGGTAGTGTCATTTTCCACTCCTGTCTGGTGCTGCTTAATATTGTCAGTCTCAGTCAACTTGCAATCATTTACAAGCCTAAGTGATCTCCCTTGCCAACTATCCAGTCTACTTATGAGGGAATTAAAGTCAAATTCTTCAAGTTGCTAAACCTCTTTTGATAAATAGAGTATCTTAATAAGTGTAAAGGCTCTTTAATATTATTAGTGCATTAGGTTAAGCCTCATGAAAACTTCACATTTATAAACTACTTCTTACTGTTCATGTCAATAAAAAAAGCTTCATATAAACAGTAAAAATGTAAAAACAAATTTAATCTTCTGTGAAATGGCAGTAATAACCCACTGAAACTAGAATAAAATATTGCATTTCTCCTACACTAGAGAGGACATCTGAGACTATAATCTAATATATATATATATACATATATATATATAGTTGTATGGGGGTTGCAGTTAGAGATTCTTTAAAGGGATGGGGATTAAAATAGAGGAAAATTAAATAAGCCATAAAGATGATAAGTAGGAACTAATTCATTTCAGACTCACTCACTGAAACATCAGTAAAACGCTTATACCTCAAAATTAGTCCATGGAAATCCAGTTTCAGAAAATTGCAGCCATAAATGTTCTACGGCTAAAATGTGTTTGAATTCTCTTCTATTTTTCTTTCTATCTGTCATGAAATATATAAATATATATAGTTCATGTATATATATATATATATTTATACATACATATATACGCCAATACCTTGAAAACCCTGATACCCTGTCATGAAAAAATGACTTACTTTAATTTAGCCCAGAATATACATTTCCTTTCATATTCCAGGGTTCTTCATGAACTGAATGAACCTGCTAACCTAGCACCGAGTCAGGTAATGCTTCCAGCTTTCCCTGGAGCATTTAATCAGAGGCAAATATGGCAGCCAGACTAGGAGAAGGTCACCTGCCTTTATATCACTTCTAAATCTATGCCCTGTAGAGACCGTCTTGATTCAGTTTGCTCCACTGAGGAAGCAAATAGAAATCAACTTTTTACTCTCAGAGGACCAAGGAAAATCACACACAGAAGGATTTGGAAAGAAACTTGCAATATATATATATTTTTAAATCAAGAATCCACTCTATTTTTCTCTTGATTCAAGGTTAGTGAGAGCGTTGGCAGACCACAGGGGATTGGGCTGTTGTCTCATTATGGCAAGTTCTTTCTCCACTTCACTGTCAATAATGTGTTTCCAAAAAGTATCCCCTCTTGTAAAATACTGTCCACTTTGTGTGTCGGTTTTGGGGGGCTGCCATGTGAAGCACTATGTAGCTTGGCCTAAAACAAGAGAATTTATGAAGCCCAGAAACCTGCATCAAGGTGCCAGTCTTCCAGATATTCTGAGAAACTCTGCGATGCTTTCTTCCTACTTCTGGGGGCTGTTTGAAGTTTGGCTGCTATTGTGTTTGTGGGTTACACTCTGCCTCTATTCCTACCTTCCTGTGGCCATTGCTCTGTGTGTCTGTGTCTTCATGTTTTCCCCTTATGGATGGATGGGTCAATGGATTTAGAGCCCATCCTACTCCACTCCTCCACTATGACCTCATTTTCATTTAACTGTACCCTCCAAAGTCACTTTTACGGGTGCCAGATGTTGGAGATTCATATCTCATTGGAGGAGGAGCAGGGTGGGTTTAGGGGAGGCACAATTCAGCACACAGATCCTAACAATATACTCTGCTATATCCCTTTTCTAACTCAAATGCCATATAATATGGGGACAATGTTTTCTCTTAGATATGAAGACAAATTGAATAAGGCTGGCCCTCAGCCACTCCTCCTTCCCATGTTTGTTCTACACCAGAGAAGCCTGGAGATCACTACAGATACCCAGGCCTGGGGCACCTTCTGTTCATAGTTCTGCCAGTCCCCTGTCCTCCACCATTCACCCCAACAGTTATTCCCGGATTGTCAGTTCAGCATAAAGAGCTGTGAATCAAGGAGAGGCAGGGAGAAGAAAGGGTACAGCAACAGCAGGAACCAGAATAAAGTAGGGCA